GCACCAGAAGCCAGGAAATTAAAAGACGTATTACATTGAGAAAGTCAACTATCAGAGATCACTCCAAAGTACTGAAGATCACTCTGATGTCAGTCTGGAGACTAAGGTGTGCCTGATACAGGCCATGGTCCTTGCAATCACTTGCATCAGAGAGTTGGACAATGACTAGGAATGATAGAAGGAGAATTGATGCCTTTGAGCTGTGGTGCTGGAGAAGAATACTGAATATACCATGGACTGCTAAGAGAATGAACAGGTTAATCCTGGACCTGGAGAAAGTTAAACCAGGCTGCTCCTTGGAGGCAAGGGTTCTGAAACTTCATCTGGAATACTTTGGAAATGTCACAAGGATGGATCGCAAGGATCCCTTGGAGAGTGATGTCATGCTTGGGAGGGTGGAGGGACAGTGCAAGAGAGTAAGACCCTTGATGAGATGGATTGATTCAGTGATTCAGGTAATGGGGGTAGGTGTGTTAGAGACAGTGAGATTGGTACAGGATAGAGCAGGGTTTGGGGCTGTTGTACAAAGGGTCGCTATGAGTCACAGGCGACTCGATGGCACATTACAACAACAACAATAACAAAAGCCCACAAAGAGCTCTGGTGGCCAAGTGGCAAGAAGCTGCACTGCAATCCCAAAAGCACCCACTTCAAGGCCACTATCTGTTCTGCTGGAGAAGGAGGAGCACTCTTCTGTGCATTAAATGCCTCTGAAAACCCTTCAGAGGATCAGCTATGGATTGGTTCCGAATCAACAGTACCTAGTAATAAACCAAGGAAGGTCTGGACATTTTGACGGCATGTATACGTACACACACAGACACACACACACAGAGGGGCGAGGGGACGAGTGAAAGAATTCGTTCCATTTAACACTGACTGAAACCTTCTTTCATATTCTCAGTGTGAGAGCAACGAGAAACACCTGCTTGCATGGCATATACTGGCGGGGTGGTGGTTTGGAGACTTGTTCCTGTGGCACTACTGGCCTCTGCTGGTCACAAAAGGCACAGCAGTGAGGGCAAGCAAGGTCTGAGTTCTCCAGAGGTTTCCACACCACCCACACAACTGAAAAATATCCTAGATGCCAGCGCTTACACTGCCATCTTCTCTACTTTGATAAATTGAGGCTGCAGAATCTGATTCTCTCAGAAATACAGGGAAGACTGTGTTGCTCACAAGCCCCAGCAGAAGACAAACCAAAATGGCTGTAAAGCAGCGGGGCGGAGGGATTTGTTCTGCCAGCTGACGCCCCGGACTGTGAATGAATGCTCTTCATTCCCTAACACAGACCTGACCTGTGAATGGCAGGTCCAGCATCCACAACCCCCAGGACACACACAAGGTGATGGTCCAGCTCTACAGTAAGAGTAGTCGTGCTGGTGGCACAAACACCCCACCCTAGACCACGCAGGAGAAATGAGGATGCCGGAGGCTGCTCTTCAGGGCACCACCTCTGCGAGGACCATGAATCCTAAGCTCCGAGGACCCCGGTAGTCTGATGGCCCTCTGCTGCAGACCTAGGGCCCAACACAGATGCGCTCGCCACTGTCATCTGAGGACCGGGAGCTCACCCTGGAACCTAAGTGACTGCAGAGCAGACCTGAGCTGACTTCAGAGCCCAATCGCACCCCTCAGCAGCCTGGGGAACATCCAAACGGAAAAGTGCACAGCCCCGCAGAAACACAAGGCGAAGAGGACACTGTGATCAGAGTGCAGGCTGCCAATGGGTCAGACTCATCCAATCCCCCACCTAACACTTGCTTCTGATCCTAGTGGAGCTATTCTACCTCCATGCACCTCAGTTTCCTCAACTTTAAAAAGGGGTTGTTGTTGTTGTTGTTGATTGCCATCAAGTTGAGCACGACTCATAGCGACCCTATAAACAAGAGGCCTGAAGCCTTTCTATAACTATAGTCATTTATCAAAGTTCATGGAGTTTCCAGAAGCAATTAAAATGGGGACACACCAGTTATCTGCCTCTTAGAGGGTGGCACAGGTGTTCAACTACAAGGCAAAAGGCTGGCAGTTTGAACTCACCCAGGGGTACATTGGAAGAAAGGCCTGGAGATCTGCGTTCAAATAAAAACCCTATGGAGCCGTTCTACTCTGCACGTGTGGGGTCAAGACAGGTCAGAGTCAACTCAACAGACGCTGGGTTGGTGTGGTTTTAGTGCCTGGCAGGGGCGCTTTCAGGGGTTTTTCAATATTCCATACACAGCGACACTTCCAAAAGATGGTTATCTGCATCATCGACACCATCATTAGCCACAGTACAAATTGTCAGTTAGGAGCCTGGAGTCTTAATCTGGACTTAATCTGGACTTGCAAATTCTCAAATCCAAACAGCCCTAAAAACCTGCCCCAGGGTGGCTGACACTGAGCCCCCAGCCAGGTCAGCAGCGGCGCCCACGTCTGCAGGCACACATGACGACTCTTCTCTGGCTGAGTCAGAGGCGTGAGGTGCTGAAACGGCACCACACCAGGGCTGCACGTGTGACAACGGCAGGAAACGGCCTCTCTGACTGGGGCGAACGCAGAGCCCTCTAGCTGGCGTTTGCACAAGCTATTTGACGGCCTTAATGGCAGACACGTTGACAGTGTCCAGGATGTATGTTCTGCCGAGGTTTTATGTTGGGGGCCTGACATCTAGGCGTGCTGTCTCTTTCTGCCACCATGTTGAATGAAGGCACATTGGAACTCGTCCAATCCGGGCAGCCCTAACTTTGGGACCGGCTAAACACAGCAGGAATGGAATCCACTTCCAAAACAGCTTGTCTCCAGAAACTCTATGAACGTGGGAGAAACGATGAAAATTATACAAGTGTTCAGGTCTTTTGTTCATAGGATCGCTATGAGTCATCTATGACTCGACAGCACTTAACAACCACCACCAAAGCTGATCCAAGGAGGCTTCACCAATGTGGCAAGAGCAGCCCCCACTGGAAAGGGAGCCTCAGTCTGCAGTCACCCCTCACCACTGTCGCCACTAATATGCCGCACCCCCGCTGACCTGGAGCGTGGCTCCACTCAGACCTCCCTCCTTGATGACAGCCGTGACTCAGCAGCCAGGTGTGGAGAAAGGCCTTGCTGCCATTCTCTGCTGAGAGGAAAGTCGCAGCATCACTAAGATGCTCCAGGGAATCCAGTCAGATTGGCAGTGCCCACCACTCACAGATCCCACCTGCTGCTGCCCCATCCTGGGCTCTCTCGCACCCACCACCCCTGCTGCTGGCTGTGCACGGGCTGGTGTCCTCTGTCCAGAACACCCTCCACCCTGTATGTTACTCAGTTTGCAATCACTTCCTTCATGATCTACTTTTGCATGAATTGTTGTTTTTTGGTGTCAGAGTCAAATACAAATCACAGTGATGCTAAGAACAAAAGATCTGAACCCTGTCCTATTCTAGGACCATCCTCATCCTTTCTGACCACAGCCACTATGTCAGTCCATCCAATAAGGGTCTCCCTCTCTTTCATCCACCCTCCCCCTTTCCAAGCATGATGTCCCTCTCTAAGGCATAACCTCTTCTTGAGAAGCTGGACTCTGTAAAGAAGAATGTGGCATAAGAATGGGCAGAGACTAATCAAGAATCTTTGTTAGTGCAGATACCACCTTGCTTGCTTAAATTGAGAAAGACTTGAAGCACTTGCTGCAGAGAAATCAGGGACTACAGCCTTCAATATGGATTGCATCTGAATGTCAGGAAAACAAAGATCTTAGTCACTGGACCAATGAGCAACATCACAATAGATGGAGAGAAAATTGAAACTGTCAATAACTTCATCTTACTTGGATCTACAATTAACACCCTTGGTACTCACAGTCAGACCTCAGGAGACATATTGCACTGGGAAAGTCTACAGTCAGGGGCCTCTCCAAATTACTGAGGAGCAATGACATCAGTCTGAGGACTAAAGTACATGTGATTCAGGTCATGGTCTTTTCAGTCAATTGCTCTGCATTTGAGCACTAGACATTGACTAAGGGTGACAGAAGAATTGATGTCTTTGAGATGTGGTGTTGGGGAAGAGTGCTGAATATCCCCTGGACTGCCAAAAGAACAGCTGTGTCTTGGAGAAGGTAGTCAGAGCGCTCCTCAGAGACAAAGATGATATTCATCTCACATAGTGTGAGCACAATTCTAGGAGAGGCTATTCACTGGAGAGGGATATCATGCTTGAAAAGGTAAAGGGACAGCGAAAGAAAGAAGACCGTGAACCAGGTGGACTGACACAGCGACTGCCGCAATGGGCTTGAGGGTGACGGAGATTGTGAGGATGGCACAGAATAGGTCAGTGTTCAGATCTGTTGTTCTTAGGATCGCTATACATCATACTCAACTCAATGGCACCTAACAACTAACCACAGCAACACCATACCCAAAGCATGTGAGCAGAAGTTTTGGCATCTTTGCCTCTAAGGAGCACTCTGGCGACACTTTCTACAAGACGTATTTGTTTGTTCTTTTGGCAGTCCGTGGACTATTCAGTATTCGTCTCCAACATCATAGCTAAGAGGCATCAATCAACTACTTTTACTTATCATCCTCAATAAACTGTTAAATCCTATAAGATATTAACCTGCGATCATGACCAGGTCTTACCACCTCCCACCTGGGCAAGTCTCTTTACCAAAAAGGGTCAGTTTCCTCGTGTTAACATAAAGAAAAAAAAGAAGAAAGAGGAGGAAGAATCAGATGAGAAAAGTAAGTAGTTTTCAATTTGTTCCAATACCAAGGTTCCCTGAAGGTGACCCCAGATCAAGGTATGATCCCCATTCCCTCTCCTGCTTCACCCAGAGCAGGACCACTTCCATGTGTCTAGAGATTTATTTTTTTTTTAAATCCATGTACCTTACTGCTGAAGCAAATTGTAAGAACAAGTGGGTCTTACACTCCCTGATGAAATGCATAGTCTCTAGGGTCAGGGTCCCACCTCCCCAAGTCAGGGTGCACCCTGTGCGCCATCGCAGAGCCCTGTCATTCTGGGGGACCTACCTCATTGAAGGTGATCCTGGGTGGGTGCTTCGAGAGCTGCTTGGTCGGTCTCACTGTGGTTTTCCAGGTCCTCCCAAAGAAGTGCCGGTAGGTGATGTCGAAGAAAGACACCCGCAGATGGCATTCGACTTCCTGCAGGCCCTGGGAGGAGAAAGGGAGTCAGCCCTGAAGAGTGCTCAAAGCAGTGAGCCCTTCGTAGCTTCCAGGTGGAACAATCTAAGACAGTGTCCTTTCAGCATCCATCCTCATTGCTTTGGGTCACAGCTTCCCACTTCCATGGAGGGATGATAAATCCCAGTGCTAAGCTCTCCCTGGACAAGCAGATACAAACCTAAAACCTAATCATCTGGGCTGTGAAGTGGATGTGTGTCAGGATGCAGGGCTAGTGCTGCCAGTAGCCATTCTTATCACCATGAGGAGCCAAGAGATGCAAGAACAAGTCTAAGTGGCATCACTTGATACTCTGGTTCAAACCACCTGAAAGCTGTCTACCTGTGCTAGTACCTGCTATGTGAACTCAAACAGTAACTCTTTCCATAAAGCAACTACCCCACAGAACTACACTAACCAGAGCCTCCTTTAACTTAAGATCTGAAGAATTAGATAGTGCCCCACTGACCACTCTGACCAGGGACACATAGAAAGATCAGGTAGATGGGAGAAAAAATTGAGAAGAAAGTGAAAATTTATAGAAGAGGTCAGACTTACTGATAGAGACTAGAGGAACCCCTCCAACAAGAAAGAATTCCGCCCTAAGATCCTTTAACATGGAACTGAAGTCTATCCTGACTCTTCGTCTTCCTGGTCAAAACTAACTACTCTCTACCCCTTATGCAACTTTCATGGCCTGACCATTCCTTCTATGACCTGAACACACAGTGATGGGTCATGGTGAGTTTTCAAATCCACATCTTCCATCTCAAGGGGGTAGTATTTTCAGCCTACCTCCTTTTACATGGATGTTTGTGGCATTTAAAAGAATCAATTTCTCAAACAATTAAAAGTGTGCAAACTTGGAAGACCATCTAAATTTAACTTGTTCTTTTATCCTCGATTCCCTGCTTTATCTTCTGTTAAACGGTATCTTGTGATTGATTTTTTTTTTATGTAAAACCAGCTCTGCTTCTCTGAGATAAACCTTATCTGATCAGAGTAGTGTCCCTTTGCTGGCTCTAATATCCTCAGAGAGAGAGGGAGAGAGAGAGAGACAGAGACAGAGACAGAGACAGAGACAGAGAATATATCCATGGGTCTGTATGCTTCTTGTAAATCTTTGGTTACCAGGGGGTTAGGCCTCAAATGAGTTGATCATCAGATCTAGAGGTTTTATTTGTGGGACATGATTTACTTACAAATAGACTTTCCAGTTCTTCCAAGGTCAAGTTTTGTTTGTATTTAAGGAAATTATCAAAGTTACCAAATTTAACTGGCATACTTTCATAATATTCCTTTATCCTCCTTTTAATGTGTATAGATTCATAAACAGGTCATTATTCTCCTTTTAATGTTATGTAGAATTCAAAATAGATCATGAGGAGAGAGACAGGGAGCGTGCACAGATAACTCCCTCTTCCATTTTTGATACTGATAATCTGTGCAGGCTCCCTTCTGTCTGTCTGTCTGTGTGTCTCTCTTTTTCTCCTCATGATGTCTTCCCAAGGATTTATCAGCTTTATTAATCTTTTAGAAGAAACTTCTAGTTTTGTTGATTTTCTTTATTATTTGTCTTTTATTTTTATGATGTCGGCTCACACATTTCCTCCTTCCTGTCTTTTATTTAATGACTTTTTTTTGGCACAATGCATATCACTCTGTTAACCTGAAGGCACGCAGTTCAAACCCACCAGCCGCTCCAGGGAATGGAAATGAGACGTCTCTTCCCATAAAGATTTCTAGCTGTGGGCGCCTGAGGGGAGGGTTCTTTATGACTCAGAATCAAATAGAAAGCAGTGGATTTGGTTTTTCTTCTATTTTCTTTGCACTTATTTTTTTTATGTGTTCTCAAGAAGAAATCAGAGACTGTTGCTTTTATGCTTTTCTTTTTAGTCATTTGTTGTTATTACTGTTTTTATGTACAATCAAGTCAGAACCAACCCAAAGTCGACCCCCAAATAGGTTTTCAGAGGCGTTAAACGGCACAGGAAGAGATGGTCCATCCTGCTCCACAGAGCACCTGGCGGATCAAACTGCGTGCTTTTGGCCTGGCAGCACAGCTCCTCCCCACTAAACCACCACCAGAGCTCCCTTTTTCCACTCATGTTGTTGTTATTAAGTGCCACTGAGTCTGTAATCATATAAAGCTAAAAATTTCCCTCAATGAACAGTGTTTGCTGCACCCCACACCTTTCCTATGTTCTTAAATTACATGGTTCAAACTAGTTTCAATTTCTCATGTGAATTTTCTTTTGGCTCATGAGCTATTTAGTAGGTTGCTGCCCAATATCCACTATTTTATGATGCTCTGTATTGTTGATCTGAAATTCAACACCGTAGTAGTAGCACTGTGATAATAGAAACAGCTCATGTATGTGAACAGAAATGTATTTTCTCAGAGTTAAAGAGGCCAGGAATCCCTCCTCATTCCACTTTCTCTTGTCCTTGGTTCTTTAGTTATTTCCACACGGCATTAACCTTTTTCTGTGTGTGTGAAAGTTTACAAATAATATCGGCTTTTAATTCAATGATTCATAGATATTTTGTTTTACAATGTTAATTATCAATTATTAATGTAATTAATTCATTAACATTTAGTCCAGTCCTTACTGGCACTCTGGAGGCATAGACTATAGTGAGCTTTGCAATAATCCTAATGTCACACCTCTCTGGCAACTGGAGTCCGTTATTGTCTGTGCAGGAGAACAACAGGCAATCTTTTCCCATTTGGAAAACCCTATGAAAGGTAAGTTATGAGTCTGTTCAGACTCAACTAGATGTTAGTAAGGGTTTCTGAGTAATCAATCCCCTAAGACTGTGTACTGACACGTGACATTAATCTTTTTCTACCTGTGCCTTCTTGCTTCTGTGCTTTATGTCCTTATATATAAAAAATGATTCAATTAAAACACACCCTATTTTGATATGACCTTACTGACATTACAAAGAAATTTCTATTCCTAAATGAGATTACATCCACAAGTATAGAGATTGGGGTTTGCAATATATATTCTAAGAGGACACAATTCAATCCCTAACAGTTGTTGTTTTTGTTATGTGCCATCAAGTTGCCTGCAACTCACAGAGACCCTATGGACATAGCTCTGAACCCTACCCTATCCTGAGCCAATTTCATTGTCTCCAACAGATCTAATCCTATTTCACCAGTCACTAAGTCAATGCATATCATCCTGGGTCTTCCTCTCCTGTGCTGTCCCTCCACCCTTCCAAGTATGATGACCTTCTCCAAGGAATGGCCCCTCCTGGACAAGTGCCCAAAATATGTGAGACAGAAGTTCAAAATCTTTCCCTTCAGAGAGCAGCTTGGTTTTACCCTCTCCAGAACAGACTTGTTTGTTCTCCTAGCAGTCTACAGTACGTACAACACTTTTCTCCAGCACCACAGCTCAAAGGCCTCAATTTTTCTTCTGTCATCCTTAGTTATTGTCCAGCCCTCTGATACAGAGCAAGTAACTGCAAAGACCATAGCCTGGATCAGGTGCACTTTGGTGTCCAGATGCCTATGACTGCTCCTCAGTACACTAGAGGTTCCTGACAGCAGACTTTCCCAATGCAATTTGTCTTTTGATTTCCTGACTGCTGAGTATTGACCAAGCGAGCTGAAGTTATTAACAATCTCAATCTCTTCTCCATCTATCATGAAGCTGCCAATTGGCCCAGAGGTAAGAATCTTTGTTTTCTTGAAGTTGAACTTCAATCCATATTGAAGACTAAAGTCCTTGATTCTCTGCAGCAAATGTCTCACATCCTCCTCAGCTTAAGCAAGCAAGGTTATGTGATCTGCATAATACAGGTTGTCGACGAGTCTTCCTCCAATCCTGATGCCACATTCCTCCTCATAAAACCTAACCTCCAGAACAATCTGTTCTGCATATAAATTAAAATGTATCTGACACACAACTTTCCTGATTTTGAACCATGCAGTGCTTCCCTGCTCTGTTCTGACTACTGCTTCCTGATCCAAGTATAGGTTTCCCATGAGCACAGTTAAGTTTTCTGGGATCCCCATTCTTCTCAAAGTTAGCCACAAGTTGTTGTGATCCAGACATTCAAATCCCTTTGTATAGTCAATGAAAGACAGATAGACATTCCTCTGGTACTCTGCTTTCGGCCAAGATCCATCCAACTTTGGCTAGGATGTCCCTAGTGCCACGGCCTCTTGTAAACCCAGCTTGCACACCTGACATTTCTCTGCTTATGAACTGTTCCAGTCATTTTTGGATACTCTTCAACAGGATCTTGCCTGCCTGTAATATTAGTGATATTGTTTGATAATTCCCACACTCTGTTGGGTCACCTTTTTTTTGGAATGTGAATATATATAGCTCTCTTCCAGTCAGTTGGCTAGGTAGTTGTACTTGAGATTTCCTGGCGTAACCTGGTGAGTGCATCCAAGGCAGCATCAGAAACCTGCCCTCCTGCGCCATCCTCATCATCTCTGAGACGCTTGAGCCCACTGCTGCAGTCTCTACGCCAATCCATCTCATTGAGGGTCTTCCACTCTTTCTCTGACCCTCCACCTTTAGCTACAAACTAAGTCACAATAAAGTTAAAAGGCCTGAAATTATAAGGAATATTACACTGAAACTTTTGTTGGTGAGGTTAGTCATTGGCTAAAGTCTGTGAATGTGCGTTTCAGGGGCATTCCCATCACTGTAACTGATAAAAACAGTGTCTAAACTTGTACAATGTGGTTTATGCCACGTATCTGGCTCTCCTCCTTGGAGTCTGACATATTAGAATGTGATGAGCAGAAGGCGTCTACATGATCAGCCTCCAGTAAGGACCCTAGGTGTTGGTTCTCTTCTATGCTTCCTCAGATGGCAACATTTCACACGCGCCGTCACAGAACTCCCACGTGCACAGCTGACGCGATCAGTGGGAGGGGGCCTCCAAGCTTGTGTCTGGTTTCCTCTAGCCAGGTCATCGCTTCATGAAGCTTTTTCCTTTGCTGATCTTGCTCTGTGTCTTTCATTGTGACAAATTCTAGCTGTGGGTGACTGTGTGTGGAGTCACGTGAGTATTCCTGCTGAATGAATGAACCGAGGGGTGGTCTTCAGGGTTTGACACAGGAGCATATGCTAACAGGATTGTTAAATCTTCCTAGTTAGTTGACCCTTTGCTGGCCATGAAATGTCCTTTTACTTCTGGTATTATTACTAGTTATTACTCACCATGAAATCTACTCTGTCTGATTTTTCTTTTTGCTTAGTAAAACCATGACTACTTTTTCACGCTTAGTCTTTGTACACCTTATCAAGCTACATCCTACAAGATACCACCTGTTCCTTCTTAGCTCGCCCACAGGTCACAGGGCCTCACGAGGATCGGCCAGTCACGTGGGTGCTTTGTGCCAGAGGAGTGGCACTAGCCCCTACAGCATGTTCCTGGCCCCTTAAGGGCACACCTGGCTGCACAGTCCAGTCACTTAGGCACCATCTAAGTGTGCAAAAGGCTTGGTATACAAAAGCACACATGCACTGGCATGTCACATACAAAGCTGCCGGAAAACCCTGAGCTCTGCTTCTGGCAACCCTGGTGTTAAGGTGAAGGCCGGCCATGCTAAGCCATGCAGAAGGCACCTCTCACAAACAATCCGGCTCAGGAAATGACCCAGGAAATCAGATTACCTGTGTGCTTAAGTTGCTCCATTGTGGGCAGAGAGGTGCTCTTACCAAGTGTCAAAAAGTGCTGACCGGATTGCCGAATTATGCATTCTCTTTGCTGACGGGCTACTTTGCCTCCCAGTATTGCCAAGGCGCAGAGTGACGGGTGCAGAGGCGCAAGTGCAGATGAATAAGCGAGAATCAATGTTAGCAGGGAACCTCATCCTGGCTGAGCGTGATGACGATACGCATTTACAATAAATCACAAGTGTCTGTACCTGCTTGATGAGCGGTCCTTCGAGCCACTTAAGGACACACTGGAATGGGGTCGATTCCTTCGGCAGCTGGCGCATCCTCCGGGGGTGGGGAGGGACAAGCACATTTTCGGCAAATACCCCATGCCAGTCCTTCATGCTGCCCCACTGAGGGTCACTTGGGCCTCCAGGATTACCTACACAGTTCACAGTAAAATAAAAAAGCAGTTGTAAGGGCCCCAGTATACAGAGCACTTCTGGAAGCTTCCTAGCTCCTACAGAATCCCTAAGGATTTGAAACCCATACTCTGTTATCCCACCTCCAAATGCCACCATAGCAGGTGGCTTTGGGACTAGTATCCACACTGCTTTCCTCAAGGGAATGTGCCATTCACACTCCAGGGAACCTTTCTGTCCCTCTTCCTTCTGGCCAGTTGAAGCATCACCACCCTGGACCCACTGATCACTGGAGGAGTGGACTTCTATAGGCCCATTCTGTACTGCTATGCACGTCAAGCAGACACGAGAGCACTGAACTCAGCCAGTGCATGGCACCACCTTGGAGGTGGTCCTAGGAGCATGACCCAGTCAGAGCCAATGACATACAAATACAGGGCTACTGCTGGGTCTGCAGAGAGGAACATGCCCTTTCTTGTAATCCTTGGAGCAGGCTGGTGGTCATACTGAAGCTGCCAGAGGCCTCTGTGGCACAAGTTACTATCATACACACATATACTCACTCTCTCTTCCTTTGATTCTCTTTCTCTCTTACACACACACACGCAACACAGGCAGAGTTGAAACAAGACCGTCTACACATCACCAGTGGAGCCCTGACTCTAAGGGACCCTAAAACCAGTCACCCCAGGAGCTCCCAGCAACAAGAATGAGGTCTCTTTTTGCCTCAGGCTGGTTTGGGATAGGTTAAGTAAACCCTCAGCTCTGAGTAGCCTGGTTCATTAAGATTATTGCTTCTTTTCAGCTGGACATGCCTCTGAAAACCTTCCCAAGCCTTTTTTTTTCAGCTAACACAGACATTACGCAGAATTTTGCGCACTCTCGCTCTCGCTCTCTCACACACACACACACACACACAAATGGCCAGCCACTGGCAGAGGTGGGAGGATCCCGTCAAAGGTCACACAAGGTCAAAGTCATTTGGCTCTAAAGCCACAATGGGTGAGACTGCTTGTGGGACAGCACACGTCACAGCCCAAACACCAAAGGGTCACTGCACTCTTTACCACTGACAGTGAAAGGCTATCAGCTTCGCTTACGAGTGGCCTGTGTGACCCCATGAAAATGCTCCCTTTTTCTGCATCTCTACTCTTGGGCACACACGTATTTAACTCTGTGTGGTGGCATGAGAAGTGTGTGTGAAGAGCCTCTGGTGCAAACCAAGATAGAATGGTCACCTCAGGGGAAGCGCTGCTGTGCTGCCCGGATTGCGAGCTAACTAGCTGGCTTTTTTTCCCCAAGGATTATTTTTCTTACTCAAAAGAATGACCGAGATGCTGGGGCCATCAAGTGCATGGCGCAAAACAAAGGCAATGTTCTATATCCCACTTTAGTGAACAATGATTGAGCTCTTACAAGCTTATGAGTGGCCATCTAAGCTACAACTAATGGTCTCTGTTCACATGGAGCAAAGAAAAGGCGGAGGAGGAATCAAAGACTATTTCAACTGAAGGGCTAATGAGAACATTAACCATCACAACCCAGAAGAACTAGATGGTGCCCATCCACCACTGCTGACTGGTCGGAGAGGGGTCACAATAGAAGGTTCCTGACAGAGTTGGGGGAAATGTGCAGCTAAACTCAAAGTCATAAAAAAGACCACACCTACTTGTCTGGTAGAGACTGGTGGAACTCCTGAGCCTCTGCTCATTAATCAGCCTTCAAATCTGGAACTGCAATCACCCCTATCACTCAGCTTCCAGCCAAACAACAGGCAAGTCTACGAAGGAGGCCAGGAAAAAGCGCAGAAGGCAGGTAGGGACAGGAAAGGAGGACAAGTGGGACCAGGAAACACAGGACGTGAGGAGAGTGCTGTTACTCTATGAAATCAACAGCACAAAATATGCTGTGCAACAGCACAAAATATTTTGTGCAATCAACAGCACAAAATATGTCTATGAACCATCCCATGGAAAGCCAATTTGCTCTGTAACCTTTCATTCAAATGACAGTAGTTGCATATATTTCATAGTAGTTACATATATCTCTATAAACTAGAATGACTAAGATAGAAATTATGGTTCTTTGCCATACATATGCCAAGACTCGGGTCCTTGGCAGCATTTTTTTCAAACATGGACAAAATGAGCTTGTCACTACAAGAAAAATAACTGCAATAAAAGCTTTTAATCGAACATTAGAATTGAGAAAATGGATATCCTGCAATGTAAGCTTGACAGCCTCCTACTTCTTAAAAGACTATTCTAATGGGATGAGTAGTGATGGTAACAAAGGAGATTTTATTTTTGCAATTATATGATTAAATGTGCCAATATAGGGACAATCTTCAGAATTCAGTGCGCCCAGATTTTCCAAATGAGCAGCATATAATGAGACAAAGTGCCTGGGTTAAAGATTGGCCCAAGGTGTAAGAGAAACTGAAGAGCTGTAATGAAAGGAGAGTAAGAAGACGTGGCAACACAGTTTCAGATTCCATCCTGTAGCAAACCTTTACAATCTTAGGGTTTACAGAGTATTTGGGTACAGGATCAAAGAACATTCACAATCCTCTAACCTACCCCCCTTATCTGAGTTGTTGTTGATATGTGCCATTGAACTGGATCTGAATTAGCTCACCAGTCCTTGGAGAAGGACATCATGCTTGGAAAGGTGAAGGGACAGTGCAGAAGAGAAAGACCTTGGATTAAATGAATTGACACAGTGACTGAGGTAAGGGGGTAGGTGTGTCAAAGACAGTGAAATTGGCCAGGATAAGGCAGGGTTCAGAGCTACTGTGCATAGGGTCTCTATGAGTCACAGTCAACTCAATGGCACATAAGAAAAACAAGAAATCACATGGGAAGACTGTTCACCTTTCTCCCACAGAGCAGCTGGTAGATTCGAATCGTATGCCTTTGGGCTGGGAGCACAACTTCTTACTACTGCAGGAAACTGCACTGCAATCCCAGAGGTGCACGGTTCAAATCCACCAGATGCTCTGCTGAAGAAGGAGGAACAATCGCCTCCTGTACCAGTCAGATCCAATTTGAAGGTACACACATAAAAAAAAAAAAAAGAAAAAAAAAAAACAACTTCTTACTACTAAGCCACCTGAGCTCCCTTTGCTCATCTGAGGGAAGCTGGATTTTCTCCATATGACAAAAAAACCCACTGCCATCAAACCGATTCTGACTCATGAAAACCCCACGCAGAACTTAAGTTACAGAGGAAGAACTGATCTCCACAGAGCTTTCCTGGATGTGATCTTCAGGGTAGAGAATCACCAGGTTTTTCTTGCACAGCACCATAGGGAGGGCTCAAACCATTCACCCACCCAGAGACTTCCTTTCTTCATTTACTGCCACCAAAGCATCATGCTGCAAAAGACAGAAGCCAAGCTGGTTATGAGACTCCCTGAGTCTTCTGCTAAGCCAGACATTAAAGAGAGATGCAAAACAATGCTGTTTCTTGTTACTTATTCATCTATTCTTTGGCCTGGGGGAAAAGAGCTGGCTTTCATTTTCAAAAATCTATTATTTATGTTAAAATGGGTTTGCTAGTTTTAAATAAATAGCATTTTAGACACTTCTGTTTTAATGTCTGAGGCACTAAAAGTCTCTAGATAAAAATCACACAAACAGGTTTGTAAAAGTGTAAAAGGATCTAATGACCAAAAATTTTGAGAACAATTGTTGTAATCAGACCCAAGTGGGAGGGTTTTGGGGAGTTGGGTCCTGCCCGTCACACTCCTAACAGCTATAAATGGGTAGGAGGGTCCTGCAGACAGAGACATGACTGTCTGCCTGAGAAGCTCCCCTAAATACATGGGGCCTTGGCTTAGGGTCCTGCCACACCTGATATTCCACTCTCCTCACCCCTCAGCCCCAGTGAGCAGACATACTGCTCAGCCTTCCAGGCCCAGATTATAACCATGTATACATAAATGTACTTTTTTTTGTTTTTTATTCTTTGTAGGTTATCTGTGTCTATTCAAATTGCATCTACAGAACTGCCCTTCTCTAATTCCAAGTGGAGAGGGACTGTCATCAAGCTCAAAGCTGAGGGAGTGGCCCACACTGTGACAAAGTCTACCCTGGATCTGGGGACAGTTTGGTCAGTAGAGGCCTCCCCTCTCTATCACCAAATCCTGATCCTCCAGGTGGGGACAGCTAACCAGAAGCCAACTAGCACCACACCCCCATCAGGCTTTAGATATGTTGTTGCTGTTGTTATATGCCATAGAGTAACCTATGACTCAGAGCAACCCTAAGTACAACAGCTCTGAAGTCTGCCCTCTCCTGAGCCAGCCTCACTGATTCCGGCACACCTACCTTCATTACTCCAGTTACTGTGTGAATAAATCTCATCTGGAGTTGTCTTCTCCTGTGCTGTTCGTCTACCCTTCCGAGCATGTCTCTAGACTGACATTGCTGCTTCTCAGTGCTCTGGAGAGGTTCCTGACAGCAGACTTTTCCAACGTAATTTGTCTTTTGATTTCCTGACTGCTGTGTTGAGAGTGCTGACTGTGGAGCCGAGCAAGCTGTAACTGTTAACAACCTCAATTTCTTCTCCATTTATCATAGTGCTGCCAATTGGCCCAGTGGTGAGAATCTTTGTCTTCTTGATGTTGAGCTGCAATCCATATTGAAGACTACAGTCTTTGACCTTCTGCAGCAAGCTCTTCAGGTCCTCCTCAGTTTCAGCAAGAAAGGTTGTACGAACTGCATAATGTAGGTTGCTGATGAGTCTTCCTCCATTCCTCATGTCACATTCCTCCTCATAGAGCCCAGCTTCCTAAATGATCTATTATGCATATAGATTGAAAAGGTATGGAGACAAGACACACCCCTGATGCACTCCTTTCCTGATTTTGAACCATGCATTATTTCCCTGCTCTATTCTGACAACTGCTTCCTGGTCCAAGTTACACAGATATGACATGAGCATAATTAAGTGCTCTGGGATTCCCATGCTTCTCAAGG